TATATAGCAGAATATGTACAAAAAGAAGAAGAAGAACTTTTGCGGGTATAGTAATTTGTAATTTGAACATTATTAGGAACTTTATTTAACTCAATATATTTTTAGGCTGCAAGTTATTATAATACAAATGATAAAGGTGGTCTTGAAAATGTATCAGTAGGTACATACGTCACGGAAGATATGCAAAATGAACAAACATTAAACATTTACAAAACATATCAGTTTGCTTATCATGCAAATCCTAATTTAGTAGTTAGTAATAAAAGAGATCAGATAGTATCTATGATTGAAACTAATTCAGTTGTAGTAATTCAAGGGCCGACTGGTTGTGGCAAAACTACACAAGTACCGCAATTTATTTTAGATTCCTGTTATAAAAAAAGACTTCATTGTAATATTATAGGTAATTTTATGTCCTTGCAATAATTTAGTTGAACTCTTAAATAGATACTTAAATAGAATTCTTACAATATATATAATTTTATTTCGTAGTTACGCAGCCTAGAAGAATTGCTGCTATAAGCATCGCAAAACGTGTCAGCCAAGAAAGACAGTGGCCAATAGGTACCCTTATTGGATATCAAGTAGGTCTGATAAACCACACAAGTAAAGATACACGTCTAACATATTGCACTGCTGGGGTTCTTTTACATAAATTGGTAAATAACAAAAACATGTTGGACTATACACATGTCATACTTGATGAAGTTCATGAAAGGAATGAAGATATGGATTTTCTTCTCCTTGTTGTTCGAAAGCTATTATATACAAATTCACGTTCAGTAAAAGTTATTTTGATGTCTGCTACATTTGATGTAGAGAGATTTGCTAAATATTTTTCTTCACCTGTGGGAAATAAACTTGTTCCTGCCCCTGTTATTGACATTCCAAAGAAAACATTTTTTAATGTTGGTATCTATTATCTTTGTCAAATGGTTACATTAGGACCGGTAAATATTTCATGTTACTATTTGAAATAAAAATATCTAAAATTTAGTGTATTTGGGTGTATTTATTGCATTATATTTCTACTTTGTTACAGATACCTGAAGTTTCTGCTACCAAACCATGTATTACAAGCAAAATGTTGGAATTTTGTGTTAATCTTATAAAAGTTCTTGATGATGTAGACATGAAAGCTGATGATGCAAAGTATGATTCAGAAACAAATCTTTATGAGAGACATGTGATTCTCATATTTTTGCCAGGAATTAATGAGATTGAGGAAATTAATAATTTGTTGTGTTTACCAAAACATGAACAGAGTAAGTGGGATATAGTGATATTACATTCCTCAATTACAAGTGAAGAACAACAGAGGATTTTTCAAAAACCACCCCATGGCTATCGTCGTCTTATCTTATCTACAAATATTGCTGAAAGCAGTATTACTGTTCCTGATGTAAAATATGGTTTGTTAAACTACAACAAAAGAAAGTTTGTATATAAAGCAATATTTAACTTTGTATTTTTTTCAGTAATTGATTTCTGTTTAATAAAACATCTTATTACGGATCCACATACGAATTTTTCGTGCTTAGAGTTAAAATGGGCGAGTAAAGCAAATTGCGAACAAAGAGCAGGTCGCACAGGTCGAGTAATGGATGGTAGAGTATATAGATTAGTACCACAAACATTTTATGAGGTAATTTCTGTCAAAAAACATTTTTAAAAACGTAACAATGTTAATATAAAATATGTTTCAAACTTTATAAAATTTATAGAATGTTTTGCCCCAAGAAGTATCACCTGAAATATTACGAGCTCCATTAGAAAATCTAATCCTCAAATCAAAGTTGTTAGATATGGGAGAACCTAAAGCTATTTTAGCACTTTCTCTTGATCCACCTGATCTTAGAAATTTAGAAAACACAATACTATTACTAAAGGAAACAGGAGCATTGCTAAATAAGATCAATGAAATACAACCTTTTGATGGAGAATTAACAGATCTCGGTCGAGTTATGGCTAATCTACCACTAAATATCCATGTATCGAAACTAATTATGTTAGGCCATGTTTTTAGTGTTTTAAAAGATACAATAATTATCGCAGCTGCTTTGTCTGTAAAAGATATGCTTAATAATCCATTTCAACAAAAACTGTTGGCCTTCAATGTCAGACTTAATTGGGCAGCTAATTCTTGCAGTGACTGTGTAACTTTCATGAATGTATATAAGGTATGGATTGCCGAAAAAGTTAATCGTCGATTAAATAGTGATGCAGAAGAAAGAAAGTGGGCAATTAGAAATTTTGTACAAATCAGAGTGTTGCGCGAGGTTAAAGCGCTGGTAACAGAATTAACGCGTAGATTAGAAAAATTAGGTATACAAGAAAGTGCCGGTGTCAATAAAGTTGTTTGGACAGAAGAAGAACGGCCATTTATTTTAAAAATCGTAATTGCTGGTGCATTTTATCCGAATTACTTTATCAATAACGTATCAGCATCAGAAAGTAAATTGAATGAACATGCTGGAATAAAATTACTAGGTGGTTTAGATCCCTTGAGGACAGTATATTTACAAGGTTGGCCTTTAAAACAACCTGGACTATTATATGCCCGCAGAATTCAGGATATCTTCAAGAAGAATTTGAAGATGTCTACTGGAAAAATAAATGTATCTTTTGACAATTCTTCTCGCGTTTACGTTCAGTTCATTCAAGGAATGTCTGAAAAACAACATAAAAATGAAGCAAGAGAAATATCTCCATTTATTTATAAAGCAATCAGAATGAGACATTGCAATATCCCCATAGAGATACCAATTTTACATGAAGATATGGCTCTGCAACGAGCAACTGAGATGAATTTAAAGCAAAAATCCTATTTTACTCCTAAAAGTGTGTTAAAGGACAAAATTAAACCTGAATTACCGGGTTTGCGAATAACTCGCATTCCTCTAATTATGCAAAACGTACGTATTTCTAACCAAATTACAAAATATGAAGTTAATCTATAACTTAAATTTTCAGATTAAAAATCCTGGTTGTTTTTGGGCTCAACAACGCAATTCTATAATTATAAAAAGACTGAATAAAATAGAATCAGTTATTGAACAAATGCAACATCAATTTGAAACATTCAAGGTGGCTCCGGAAATTGGCACAATTGTAATCGCTCCATATGAAGAAAACAATCGCAAAACATATCTTCGGGCAGTAGTGGAAGGTCATGTATCATTACCAGAAATATTAGTACGACTATTTTTTATTGATTATGGTTATTCAAGTGAATGTCGATTGTGCGATTTAAAACGTTTGGAGGATGATAGTGATATTTTTGATATTCCTGCATTAGCGCTCAAATGCAAATTAGCAAACATTCGACCATCTGTAGCACATAATTTCAGTGAAGATTGGTCACAGGCTGCATGTGATCTATTCTGGACATTAATTAATAAACCTGGTTTCCTTTTTGGAGAAATTTATTCTGTTGTCAATAGCGTTGTTGTGATTGACTTAATTCATAAAAATGAAGAAGAAGAAATTAGTATAAATCAGTGTCTTCTTGAAAAAACATTTGCAATAAAAAAAGAGGAAAATTATTTGTCACGTTTTAATCATAATTTAAGATTGCAACAATTAGATATGTCGGATGAACAATGTTATTACTATGAAAAGTTACAGTATGATCAAGACAATATGTCCGATATCTATCCAGATCCTCCTGCAGTTGCAGAATGCAACACATCAGAAAAATTACGAGGTCCATTTTCACCACTAGAAATTGATTTAATTCATCTTATTAAGGCTGGTAGAGATAAAACTGTGAGAATGGCGATGAATTCAGTAAATTCTGTTCTTTTGGACACTGATCCTGAAGATTCTTCTCACCGACTTTTAGTAGCAGCATCCATTTCTCAAAGTGCACGTGGTCAAAATTTAACATTATATAATACAACATTAATGCCACGTATTCCTGGTTTAACTGCCTTAATTGTATTGATTTTTACGCCATATATGGAATTGCGACGCAATAATTTTGGAACCTGTTATGTTGGCGCATTATGTGGATTAGGTTTTGATCCTATTAAAAAGAATAGTATTTATCCGGAACACGATATAGAACTTTATTTTGACACCGAAATTACTATAGATGATTTACAATTTGTAAGAGCAGTTCATATTGTTTTAAATATTTTTTCTTGTTTAAGTATATTTGTTTAGTTTCCTTGTTTGTTTATCAGATAAATAGACTACGTCATTGGATGAATATTGGAATGCAAATTAATCAACAATTTAATAGCAATAACAATATGGAAGAAATTATTATCTGTCAGAATAGAATAAAAGATGCATTGTTCAACTTAATTGAGAAAGAAAGAAAGATTCAAGCTACAGAATTAATTAATAATTTTGATAGATGGAACTTGTATAATGAAAAGCTGTTGCTTCGGCCTAATAAACAATCCATGATCACTAATAGTATATACAGACTCCATAATGCATTAGAATTGGAAGAAGCAAATGAAATACATGAAATTATAGAACATATAAAAGATTTACGATTATTGGCAACTGAGTAAGTAAATTAGCGGAACATCTATTAAGTTTAAGTGATATTTCCCAATTATTTTATATTCCTTTTTAATATTATAGAGATCCAAGGAAAACTGGAATTACTCAAATTCCTTGTAAATTATGTAACATTACAGTATGTGATATATTTGACCTTCGCAATCATTTGTACACAGCGAGGCACAGGCAAAACGAAAATATATTAGGAGTTAAACTTTGAACCATAACATGACAGACTACACAGACTATTATTATTATTATTAGTAAGTAACTATAAAATATAAAATGTTTAGTATTCTACATATTGAAGATATATCATTGGAAGAATTAAACTTCTATCAACTTTATTTTATTTAAAACATACTTTTTGTTACAAATGTTTAAGTTTCGTTCATAATGTATATTACTTTGTTATGATAACATAACGCATTTTTATTTGAATTCTATATTTAGAAAGCGTGATGACTATACTTTTTTTTTTGTAATTTTACAAAATTATGACTAATATTCATTTGCTGTGTAACTGAATATTTTTTACTGTAATCTGCAAAATCATTTATAATATAAAATAAAGTATATATACAAATAAAAATGTTGCACCTACTACAATATATCTATAGATCTTGTAACTATACATTTCACACGTACTATAGCATTTAGGTAACAACATATAAAATACTTCTTTTTACAATATTTTTATGAAATTGATAAATACACCTATTTTCAAACATTTTTCAATAATATTGTATGGTGATGATTGTGAAACATATAAATAATACAATCATTTACCTCGAGTTGCCTCAAAAGTATCTGCGATCAGTCATACTCTAAACTTCTCTCTGGATATAACGAGCTCCAGGTTGGGTATATAACAATCGTCCAGGAACATTAGCACCAGAAGCGCTAACATATGTACCTGGTGGTGGTGGTGGATATGGAGCTGGCGGTGGTTGCGGTGGTCTTACTGGATATCCTGATGTAATTCCTCCAGTTTTAGCACCCTGTTATCAAATTTTTTGTTAAGATGATGCATTATTATGGAAATATAATACTTAAATATAAAAAGATACCTGTGGAGGTTGCTGAATTGGAATAGCCCCACCATGAACAGTAACATGACTACTTGGCCTTAAATAAAATTTATCTTCTGCATAGGCACCTTTATGGTCCAATGAATGCAAACTTGTAACATATGCTAATAAAAGAATAGTATTGTAGGGATTTTATTAATTTGTATAATTTTAGATCAATAAAAATACAATTATATACCAGATTGATGTGTCGACAACGTTGCTCTATTGCCTGAGAGATATACTGATTTAGTCGGTTCAGGTTCGCGGGACGGTTGCGATGTTGATGCAGAATAACTATAAACACTTTGACCAGTAGGGGCTGAATAAAAATTGGAGGCGGAGTACTGATTATTTTCTGTAAGAAAATGCATAAAATTTCAAAATTGAGGATCAGAAATGTGAACGTTGTTGTTGATGGCTTTGTAAAGAAAGAGCATGGAAATTAAAGAAGGTTTATTCACTCACTGTTCCAGAGAACAGCTCGGGAATCGCCAGATCTCCTAGCTGCTTCCTCAGATTCTATACAGGTACAAACATCTACGTTTAATACTCTCTTTTCTCTTTTTTTCATATTTCTTTTTGTAATTGTAACTTCTGTATTTTTATATACTTACTGGAAGGTGGAGGATTATAGTTTGGAAGCGAAGGCGTTGGTTTGTATCCATAACCAGCATGATATGGGGAGGCTGTTGGAGGTGGTGATGGACTATGTGTCCTCTTTAATGGCCCCTGGAGAAAAACATCTATAAGTAAGTTAATTTTTTACAAATAAACAAATTTGATATACTTACAGTTGGTAATAAAGTATGTGTTGGTGCACCTACAGCTACTTTGTAAAGTGGACTATTGCTTCTTGGTAAAGGAAGAAACAATTGTGGATGAACTACTCTAGGGCCTGCTCCAGGGTATCCCCCTACTGCTGTTAAAACTTCAGAACATACACTGTATAACAAAAATAATCAATTATGATATATCATTAAATGTATACCAATATCCCATTTGATACCGTTTGATTCCAATATATTTTAAGAAATACGGTATAAACCTTGTTTCTTTGATTAATTGCCGTCTCCTATTATCATCTTCATTTAAAACTTTCTTCAGTTGCAAGAATAATTGATGTTTTTCATCTTTTAATTGCGAAAGCTCATTTTCTAGATTTGATATTTGTTCTCTAGTTTCACCTAAAGTCATTACATCTTGTTTTTGTTGCCGTTCTCTTTCTTTCCTTAACCGTTCTTCTTCTGCATCTGCTTCCTGTTCTGTACATTTAAAATAAAAAATTAGAGTAAAAGTGAAAATCTAATGGCAATTTCCTAAAAAGAAGGTTACCTTGTTTCTTCCGTTGTCTTTCTCTTGTAATATGAGCTTTTAATGCTCGCCACATTTGTTCACTACGTTGAGGAGGACCGACGATTACTGCCGGCATGGTTAATTAATTTTTTTTCGATTTTAAAATAATGCAAATTCGTTACTATGTAATAATAAACCTGTCAAGACATATTTTTTGTATACGTTATGGATAACGTTATGGATACGTTATATAGACAGTTTGGTCACAGACTATATATTGGATAGATTTCGTATCAAACGAGGTATACACAAACTTATTGTACAACTTGTAACGTCGACTTTAGACTTAAAAACATTGTTGTATCAGATATCAGTGTATATGAGCGAGTGATTTTCAAAATGTGGGATATGAAAAAGCATTGCATATTACATCTGTACTATGTAAATTCTGAGCCTTGTTAGTAGAGAGACACGAAATTCCATATTTCATATTCCATAATATATATTAAACCGTGTTCTGTACAGTCGATATTTTATGTCCATAAGTTCAAGTCAGAATCTGGAAATGTGTGGATGATGTGATTGTATATTTTTTATGTTGGTGAGAAATTAATGAAATTAGTGAGAAACATTTACATTATAAAATATACATGAATTACAACTAATAATATTTCTAATGAATAAAAGAATTTAGTAAGTTACATACTTTTTATTACTAAGAAACTTACCGTATAATAAAAATAATTTTTCTTCTTAAAATATACACTCCTTTTAACGAGTTACAAATATTAAAAGTGCATTTGTCACATACAGTTGAAATATATTTGTTATATATTCTTATACCTAACCTCAATCTCTGGCTTTTTTATGTAGAAATCAATCTTGGTAAAAGTTGGCGATGATTTAGTTAATATAAAGGATGTATATAATATGGTGTTTTTTTTACAGCTCTTAACAGTGTTAAGTAACAAGGTTTTTGAAAAATACTTTTTCAAATACATTAGAAAATATGGCACACTATAAAGGAGCAGCCAGCGAAGCTGGCCGAGCAATGCAATTGATGAAAAAAAGAGAAATTGCTCAACAAGAAATAGAATTAAGGAAAAAGAAAATAGAAGATGACCTAAAGATTCATAACATAGAAAATAAATTTGCAACTCATTACAATGCAGTTGAACAACAGTTGAAAACCTCTACTATTGGTTTAGTCACCTTAAATGAAATGAAAGCAAAACAAGAGAATATTGTAAAGGAACGTGAAAGAAAATTAGCACAAAAGGAACGTGAAAAGGAACAAGAAAAAGAAAGAGCCCTAGCTGCAAAGCAAGCTGAAAAAAATAAGCAGAAGAAACAAATACAAGCTTTGTCGTTTAATTTAGATGAAGATGAAGTAGAACTTTCTGAAGAGGAGGTAGAATCAAAAGCAGAAACTTTAAAAGATAATGATATTGGACCAGTAATAAAAAAAATAAAGAAAAATCCAGATGTAGATACAAGTTTTCTACCTGATAGAGAAAGAGAAGAAGAAGAGAACAGATTAAGGGAAGAATTAAGACAAGAGTGGGCTAGAAAACAAAATGCATTAAAAGAAGAAGAGATTGAAATTACTTTCAGTTATTGGGATGGTTCTGGACACAGAAGAAGTGTTATTATGAAAAAAGGTAAAGGTTTAATTATTATAACTAATATTTTTTAAATTTATCAAAAGAATGATTGTATACTAATTGTTATTAGTTCGCACTGTTGGTAGGTAATTCCATTTATCAACTTCTTCAGAGATGTTTAGAAGTTTTAAGACGTGAATTCAGTGAACTTAAAACAGTCATGGCTGATCAATTAATGTATGTCAAAGAAGATCTTATTTTGCCACATCATTATACATTTTATGATTTTATTGTAACAAAGGTAAATGTAGTATAAGAAAGCCATGTTTATATACCTATATGTGATATTGTTAAAATGAAAAATTATTAGTCGATTCTTTTGCTAGGCAAGAGGAAAGAGTGGGCCTCTTTTTACATTTGATGTTCATGATGATATCCGTGTTATGCATGATGCTTCTGTTGAAACAGAAGAATCTCATGCTGGAAAAGTATTACTTAGGTACTATTTATTTTAACATTATTTGTGATGTTTGTATGTATATGATTAATTATATTTGATTACGTTATGTTATGATTTCAGATCTTGGTATGAAAGAAATAAACATATATTTCCTGCCAGTCGATGGGAACCTTTTGACCCAACAAAAAGTTATGATAAATATACAATATCAGATAAAAATAGGAAAAAAGATAAAATTTAATGAAAGATAGCTTGTATAGGAAATAATTGTACAAAAGAATTAATACATATTGTGTTCAGTAAAGGAAAATTGTTATTTTAGGAGAACTTTTTGTTTTGTTAAAAGTATTACATAATCAATAAATATTAATACCTGTATTTTAACTATAGAGAGTTCATAGAAATTTATAATTTTAAATTCCTTAATTACGTAGTATGAATAGGCACCGCAAACTAAATATTATGTATCCTGTATATTTCGAATAATGTACAGAAATTTCATAAAAAATATTTCATATATATTGTAAATAATATATCTATTACTTAATACACTTTGACAAAGTTGTAACAGTATGAAGTTAATTATATAAATTTAGAAAAATGATCCATTTTACATGTTTAATTCGTTTTCAGCGATATTTACAGTTGATGATGTATTAATAATTTGAGTTTCCTTTATTACTTCATCTATAAGATCATTATAAATATCCTGCACACTTTTTATTGTTGACATATTACCAAATGTCGAAATTGCATTATTTATATCAAATATACTATCATTTTCTTTTAAAGATGCTTGTTTATTAAATAAATTTTCCTGAAAAATCTATTATTTTAAAATAATGTTTTGATTAATTTGAACTTTTTCTAACTCACTCTTTTATTCAATTTTAATAACATTTCTTTCATCTCTGCATTCATCATATATGGATTACTACTAGAATCTTCTATTACATTATTTATATTTTCAATATAATAAGTTGAATCAATAAACTCCCATTTATCCTTTCCGGTAAGAGATAAAGTTTGAGAAAAATAAATGAAAAATTGTAATTCTCATACAGTACGATTATTAATATAACTTACTTTGCTATCAAGATTTAAAAGATTTATACCATCTTTATTTTGAAATAGTCGCCGTTTATAATTATTTGTCTCGATCAATATGTTCGAGTCGTTACATTTACGAATTTCTAGCTTTTGCAATTTTATAAAATACAATTTTTTTGTTAGACTTTTTAATTATGTAAATAAACGTAATATTAGATATATAGATATAAAATATATACTATTTAAAATATCCAATAATCTCTTGATTAATATATTATTATGGAATTCTTTCGTGCATTATAACTTTATTGTCATACCTGTATTTAGCGTTGTATATTTGGGACATAAATAAAAGAATTGCCGCGTATTTTCTGCTAATTTACCAGTTTCAGATGGATTCGATTCTAACATTTTTTCTAGCCGTTTTCGATTTTCATATTGATACAATACAGTTTCTTCGATTGCTTTCTGCAGTATGATTAAGACATTTTCGCTTACAGTGTTAAAAAAATGATCTGTGTTTCATTTTACAATACAAATAATTTACTTTTACTTTATCGTTCATTACGTGTATAACGTTATCAAGATTTTCTACTTCTAAAATTTCTTTTCGTATACATTCATCTTGCGCAGCAATATTTGAAATATTAATGTCATCATCCCATTCACTTCTGAACAATTCTTCATTATTATGTAACAACTCTAATTAAGTACAATTTGTTTTACCAAATCTTATGTATGTATGTAACGAAGTACATAGCGAAAAATGTTGAGATGTACAGTAGAAGCAACATCAAATCGAATATTTAAGGAATTATTTCAGGTTAAATAGTTTACATAAGTATATAGAACATAGTAAATAGAATAAATACTTTTGGAACGAATTAATAAGAATATAACAATGAAAATGCAACTTTTTCTATATGTCAGCATTTGTTCGTTTCTTTTTTTATATCGTCACTAGAGTTAGGTAAGACAAAAGTACCTTTGTTTGCTTTCCATGAAATTTCCATGTTTTCTATTTGGTCTTCCGTGGTTGAAAGTTCAGAAAGATCTTTTGTAACTGAACTCATAGATGTTTCCGTCGTAGGAAGACGATCGGATCTTGGAGATTCTATTGGCGGCGTTCGACTCGAATCTTTCGACGAGGTTTTGTCATATTGCGATACAAATTTCAGCATAAATTGATTTTCAGTAATATCCATACGAGCACCTATAGAATGGTCTGATTTCGACTTGATTTCGGATGGAACGGGTGAATGACCTCGTCGTTCGACACTAGGATTAGCCGAAGAGGCGCGTGATGATTGATTGCTATTGATTTTGCGGCGCGATCGTAATTGCGCTTCGTACTCTTCTTCGTCACTGCTACCCTCCGTATACAATTCTTCCCCTGATATCCATAATTCTTCTTCTTCCTATAGAGATGTTGAAATTTGAGTTATTCAATCAATATCCGTTTATTTTCCAAATTATAAGTATTAAACGGCAACTTTGCAGGATTTGTTACTTCACCTCCTTTTTTATTTTGGCGAGTTGAGATTGTACTGCGGTTTTCATTGACTGTTCATGCAATTTTTGATTCTTCGTTACTTTCTCAGCCATCCTATTATTAAATATATCACGATGCTATACAAATAGATAATCTTGTAATTTTACACATGCGAATATTGTATGGAAAATGAAGAATATATATTTAGCATCAAAAAGATCATTGATGAGTAAGATGTTTAAAGAATTAACAGAAATGTAATAATCGTGATTTTTCTCGATAAGATTAGTGTAAAGTTATCATTGGTCCTTTGCGTCTGCCTTCGAAAGAAAATTGCTGGGAAATCGAATGCGATTGCGTTTATAGAATTTTTCAAATTTATTTGTGAATGGAGATCAATTCGACGAATGTATATGAAGTGTCCTTGAACTATGAAAATCTAGAACGAGGGTGAAATAGGTCAAGGTTACGTGTCACAATAAGTGCAAACGATCACTTATAGTTGTTATGATTTGAAATTTACCACAAAAGTATTTTTTTGGATAACTTATCAATGTTATCATATTTCAAGGACACATGATAATTTCACACTTAACTTTCAATGTCGGTGTTTGTTTATTTGTATTTATTTACTTATCTTTGTAGTGCTATTAAAATTAAGAGTACTGTTTTTTATCAAATGTGACCAGAAATTATTTAACAAGTAACATCACTATTATGAAACTGGATGTAGATAATTATTTTGCGAACTTAATTCGAAAAAATTTTTATTTAAAAAAAAAATTGTTAATGCACAGTCACGAATTTTTGTGCAATTTAATCATTTAAATGATTTTATTGGCGAATTTTCAAAACATTACCTCGGTCTTTCCGGTCTCACGTTTCTTGGAATCAAGTACAGTGAGGAAGAACGAGATTCACGTGGTAATTTTCGTCTAATTTTGGTTGTGCAATGACTCTCAATAATGACAGGTGTTATCGAACTGCATCTTGAAGATTTAATTTGCGCAATTAATATTTTCTAGTTTTGAAATGTTCATTTACAACATTACTGGGTTTGTTATTACGTTGTGTTTATCAGGCATGTGACGTTTTATTATTCTTGTATTACAGACCGATTCACAAGTATAAAACGTTTTGATATTTATTTCTTTGGGTTTTTTGTTGTGCTATATTAGTAAGCACTTGAAAGCTGTTCGAGACACTGCATACTGGCTTTGAAATCGCGACAGTAGCGGCGCCTATGGCCAGATACAGCTCGATATATAAATAAACGTATTAGCTCGCTTGCGCGATATCCCATGTGCTTCTCTACTATAATTGTGATTTTTAATATCATTAACCGTACTTTAGTTATAAAGGAAGGAGAAAAAACGTGACGCCTACTTGTTGGAACATTTTTTAAGTAACTTTAAAATATCATAAGTTGATATTAACGAAAATGTCTATTTATATTTAACAGTAATTCTTATTATACGAGTATCATGTAATATTAGCATTATTAAAATTTTTTAAATTACGCTCGTTATGATTACAAAGTTGTAGATTTAATACAAGTAGGATCCATGTATGTAATATCTTCTGGGAAATGATCCATGATGATAAATCTTTTTTCGTTAGGTTCATTTAGATTGTCTAAGAATCCAAACCAATAAATTACAAGTCCTGGACCAAATCTGTTCCAGTAGCTTAGAAATTGTTCTTTGATATATTTCTGATGTATTTCCGTATTTACAAATCTTGCCTTAGATTCTATCCAGTTAATTACAAAACCATTTACTGCAATTGGTACTTCAAGCTTGAAGTCTGGAGTTTTATCGCATCCCCTTGATCTTAAATGCTTCTCATTACGAAATGCAAGATTTCGTTCTATTAAGTAGTTTTGCAACTTTAATTCATATTCCTGACCTACAGAACTACAAATTTAATTTATAAGATTATGCACAACTGACTAATTTAAATACTTAATGGCATAATACGTACGTTCCCACAGCATCTGATATAGGGCCATACAAATTGTCATATAATATACACTGTAAAACATTATTTAATTATTATACAGTACAATTATTTCTTAAGTTAGTAAATTTATTAGCTATTTTAAATTTATTACCAAATAGACTTCATATGCAAGATCTTTGTCCTGTATGAGGGTAGTATCCTTAAATAGTTTACTAACTTCATTTCGGGAAACTAAAAATATGTTATCTTTTATAATTCAAGAAGAATTACATATTGTTGTAAGGTATTTCAAATCATATATAAATTACCATTAGATTCATCTTTTCCACAATGTTTTTCAAGAACATTTCTGGCTAATAATGCAGGTGGTGCACCAATATCCTTTGCCATTTTCAATAAAATTCCAACAGGTTCTCCATTTTGCACAGCTTCTATATAACTATTATTTAAATTATTTAATAATGACAGTGTATAAAATTCTGCATATTAAAAATATAATGAAAGATATACGTACGTATCATAATAGTTTTTATTATTACCAAATAACTTGTTATGATTAATTTTCATTCTGTGTTGTACTTCTAAAGATAATATACTGTATAATGTATGTATTGGAATCCTAAATAAAAGAAAAATTAATGCTTTATTACAGTGAATAATAAATAAGAATTGGTTTTGCCAAAAATAACCTTACTCGCTATACTTCTCTTTTAAAATATCCCTACAATCCTTTGATAAACCTCGAAATTTTCGAATTGTTGCCACTATATCGTTGTATAATTCAAGCTTCATCTTGTACTTTTATTTTATAAGTCCAAAATAAATTTCCTTAAATTATTTCAACTTTCTTTTAACATTATCGTATAATTGTATACTTGACATTGATACTTTCAGAAACTTCTTCATGGATACTATCCTAGAGATGTAAACTCTTGGTATTTATTGACAGGAAGTATATATTTTTCAGTATTATCATTTGAAGTTTGAGATTATATTAATTTTGCGGGAAATTTAAATTTATCATTTAAGATCAAATAACCGTAGCCCGTTATTTTTTTGTCTTTTATAAATCATAAAAAGTACTTGTTATAATTATTTACAAAAATTAAGGTTGTGATCTTGATATTTTATGAATTTATCTTGGAGTAATAAATTGCGATAGTGGAATACATTAATAGGCTGTTAGTGACTACTTTCACTTAGTATAAGAAAGGTTGAAGTAAGGTTAGAGAATTGTGGAGTGTGTTAGTTGTTATATTTTGTTAGTTTTATTGTAAGTTTGTTAAATTTAAAGTATATATAACAAAAACAAAACTGTCTACGCAAAAATTCAAAAAGAAGGACATAAAAACTCGAATATTTATACTCTTAAATAAGTATAAAGATAATAGCATTTGATAGCATTGACAGATTTGGTTAATTTGCCATTCTATTTTATATTTTAGTTTTGTAAAAATAATGAATAAATATAAAAATTCAAAAAAAAAATGTAGTGTACAACAAGAAAATAGTAAAACTAACAATGTACAAGAAGGTAATTAATTAATATTATTTCTATAAATATAATTAATTAACTTTTAATAATGTAAATTATGAGTTATAGGTTCACTTAAACAAAGTATGAAGGTTGATATAGGAAATAATTCGCCTCAACATTCTTATGATTCACGAGTTTGTGGTTATAATACACCAATTGAAAAAAAGGATTATGTAATATATGATGTAGAAGATTCTCCTGAATTATATTATCGGTGTAGTCCAACTTCAATATCTTGTACTCAAGATGGAGGTAATGAAATTGCTTGGGATTGGCAAACATCTAGTACTAAAAATTCTTGTGATAAACAAACACCATCAAACAGTCTCATTGAAACACCAAAAAGAACCAAACAGTTGCAAAAGAAACGGAACTCTAATTCTCCATTACTACAAAAGCCACTTAAAAGGAAGCAGATGAAAATGGAAAATATAGAAAATATTGGAAAACTGACAGCAGAATTGAAAGCTTTAAGCGAAAAGATGAAAAGCATGCAACAAAATTGTGATAATCATAATATTGAAAATGAAGATAATACAAACTTTGAAACTAGCAGTACGCTAGTAATAGAATTGGAGAGCAATAGTAGTGACGATATGATAATGGATTGTAAACCAAAAATGGATTCTATTGCTATTAATAGTAATAACAAAAACCCTGCAAGTTATGCAGATTTATTTGATGATTCAGTTGATGATTCAATGGTAAAATGTAGTCAAGAAATTGAACAAAAATTGAACTTAGGTAAAGATAAAAAGAATGAAATAATAGAATTATCTACAATAAATGAGAAAAACGAATTGTCTTCTACACCTAAAAAGAAGACTTACTGTTTAATCACATCTAATACCTCTAGTGAATGCTCCGAAAGTTTTAATATCTCTAGAACTTCTTTAACTAGTACAAATGGTCATTTAAAAACATATTCAAATAATTCAAGTAAAACGAATTCTACCATAAATGTTTCAACATTTAATTCCAAGAATATCAGGAATAATGTTACAAATGTATCGCATGGAAAACAAACATTGCAAGATAAGAGTATGTCAGATTTTCCAGATGATTCCTTTGATGACTGTTTAGCAACTTGCATAGAAGATGATAAATTATTGTCTAGATTATCAGAATATGACTTTAATCCTTCAAATTCAGACCATAATACAAATCACTCCAAAAAAGCATTCAAACTTATTTCTAATCCAATAATTAATAAAAAAATGCCAAGTAATTTTGCTACGAAATTAGTAACCCCTAGTAAAAGTAAGCTTTTTACAGATGATTTAGTAGACGAAGTTGAGACTATAACTGATAAAAAAGTAATACAAAATTCTTTTCCTAGTAAAAATTCCTTAGAAAACAGAAAATTTTTTAAAACGAAATGTTTATCAGATCTATGTTCTTATCAAAATAAAAACGCATCAAAAGTCCGTTCATATTTGACTTCATCAGTAAGTACTTCATCATCAATTGTAAAAGGTCAGAACCCATATAAAAATAATAATATTCCATCGATTAATGGTATGGAAAATGCGCATGATATTAACAGATTAAACGAAAAAGAAGGTGGCAATTGTATTGTTAAATACAAATCTACTAGCAATTTATCTAGCATGAAAGAGTCTCAGCCAGTACGATGTACTCCAGAAGAAATAGAAAGAAAACGGCTAGAGGCAAAGATGAGACTCGAGGCAAAGAGAAAATTACGACATACGAATAGGAGATCAATTGGTACTATATCAGAAAATCCAGAGGAAAAGTCTGTAAAAAGGTGAAAGACTGGTATTCTTTAATTACAGGAACCAATGAAATTACCTCTCACTATGTCGTAATACCCTATTGTTCTATGTACAATTATTGTGCCTGTTGTTCATTCCTCTGTGATTCCAACTGCACCTAAATATAGAGCTATTAAATAAAAAAAGTTTTTTTTAATACAGAAAGATTTTTTAAATATTACCTAGTCGCATTAATAATCTTAGGTTATTCTTAAAGAAATTAGTATCACCCTGCGGATAACACGGATGGTAAATAATACTTGTCATGTTAAAATACTACGGGTATGTTAAAAAATATATTTATTTGATTGTAACATATATTGTAATGTGTACTAATTTTACAGAATAAGTTTAAGAACTCAGAATAAATGCCAAATCGTTTTGTAAACCTGTTTATAAAAGTATTTTTATTTATCTTTCATGTAAGTGTACATTATGTAGTGTCATTCCATCGCCTGATACAGTTGAGTATATACTACTAAAAATAGCACATTCAGTACAATCTATTTACATATTATTGGTAAAGAATTGGTAAAAAATTTGTATTTTCGAAATTTTCTACTTAAACTTTGTGCTATAGGAATTCTTTTAACGAACTCAGAACTATTAAAACATTCAAATAAATTATTATTTTTGAAAGATACAACATTTAGAAATGTCTCGTAAAAGCTTCTACCACTTAGGAAATCGCGCGAAACCAGGTATGTTCAAAAGCAATAGCGTTAACGTGGTTATCGAAAGATTTAAGTAAATATCTATAAACAATTACGAACAAAGTAAAGAATTTACATAAGTCTGCTATAAGAAAAAATAATAATAAATCACGTAAATATTTAAGAGCAACTGTTATAGCGCATGTTTAGTGGTCGAGCGCCATTACTCGAACGTGTATTTAATCGATACACACGTGACGTCAGACTCGAGCACGTCGCGGTGTTTCCACTCGCGCACGTGAAACAATTTTATGATCGGTAATAAATTCTTTCCTATAATACGAGCAAATTTAAACGCATTGAATATTCAAATATTTGAATATGTGATATTTCAATTTGTTCTACGCGCTTTATTTTCGCGCACGTTATCGTCCATCCCCACCATACGTGTTCGACGAATCAGAAGTTGCGCTGCCGCGCATACCTGTTCCTGATTGGTCGAGCGATTCGATCGAGAAACGGCAGCAAGCTAGTCGGCCAGCGACGAGCATGGGAAGAACACGTGTCATTTGCATTGTTGCCCTCGATTCGGCGAGCTCATACGTCGACTCACACGATTCTACCACCACTCCTGCCGACGTCCTCACCACCAGTGACACGAACGTTGTTGGTAACGCCACCAGCGTCGCTACTACCACCGAGAAAAAGGCATCGGCTTCCCCTTCCGTGGAGGTGGTTGACAGCTCGAAAATCGCAGTACCATCGCGTACACCGAGTACAGTGCCCGATACAGTGCGAGATTTATCAGCGTACCCCACCGGCCTGTCACGATGCTACTATCGGTGATCGCGCTCCTATGCGCCGGCAGCAGTGCAGAGGTGTTTACGAACACGTTTCTCGTGAAAATGAGGCAACCTGCGGAAAGACATGTTGCCGATCGTGTGGCAACTAGAAATGGATTTTTCAATCTTGGACCGGTAAGTTTTTCGACCTTTACTCGTAAAAATAATCGTTTTTATCATAATGATATTATGAGAGAGTCGAAGAAACCTTGTTGTCCATATTTTAATACAAGATACGCGAGTTATTTGTTTCCAATGAATCTATGAACAGAGTATAAATTTACTTTGGTTAGAATAAATACGGTTACGCCGAGTATCGTTCTTTAGTGAGATAGTATTAGAATCGAGAGAACGATGGAATCGATCGTGAAATAATTTCCACGATATAATTATCACGCAATAATGCTAGGCCACAAAACCACGAGTTCTTGACACTGACATATATCGTCGAATGTAGCACGTACACGACCGTTGTAAGGAAATTGCTTATCTGGGATGAAGGAGTGTTGCTCGGAGCGTGGATAGGGTGAACATGCTAGGATAAGAATGAAATTTCTCTTGGACGATCGATAAGTTTGCTCAGAAATAAAAAAATGTTTAAAAAGAACGCCACTGTATTTATATGTTATCGTTTGGGTTCCAGTCGAACTTCCCCTTAGATATATACATATACACATATGTATATACATACCAAACATACAATTCATGGAAGCAATAAAGTTGTTAAACGACGTAAACAAACATATTTAGCGTCGATATTCTCGCTGTTTCCGATTTAAATTTTAATGAGAGAATAAACGCACAGAGGAATGTTATTATTACATGGGTCGTTGAGAAGCCACATTCATCAATTACGTAAATTGGAAAATACAGAAAAGCGATGATGTTATAAACGCTGTTTTCTAAATTTTCATTTGAATTTGCTGTTATTTGTATGAAATAGTACATTTTTCTAATAACTTATTCGTGTACTTGTGTAACGAAATTAAGAAATTTAAGAAAGATAAAATTGATCTGTTTAGCTTCAGAGAGGCTCATACGTATATACATATATCTTTTCGTTTTATAATTATATATCTTCTTTTAAATCTTCAACATATCGATATGATCGTTGAATCATAGGACAAAATTCGTTTTTTAATTTTCTTGATACGTTTGTTGGTTTAATCGTTGAAAAAGTCTCCGCTGGCCCTGTTTATTCTTGCTCCAGTTTACTGTTGATTTATATCGACGCGAAATCGTTATCAATTGGCCGCATGAACGACCGATATTCACCGCAGGTATGCCGAATCTACCAGAGGCATTGATTTCGTGGCCCGTTGTCACGAACAACCACCCGCATTATCGTGAAAACGTGTTCGAAACAGTTGCTCGACGTCATAAACACGTAGGATACGTACTAACGATAAGATTAATTTTGCTCGCAGAGCGGTCTTGTACCAAGAAGAAGAGTTTTATCTAGCACCGTGTCCATTCACTTATTTTCTCATGTTTCAAAGATTATGGAAAAAATTCTTCGAAATTCCAATGTGAAAAAGATACTCGCATCGTCATAGATTTATCTATTCTTAGCATATCCATTGAAGTGTCAATTAATTGGCTAGCGTAGCTGGATCTCTAATTTGCTTTAATCGAAGTGAAAACATCAGTTTATGGTCAGACAGCGCAACAGTGAAAGCGACGCGGCGTGATCCAACGCCTACGTGGTAAACGTTGCGTAGGCATTGTTCAATATAGCTAGCATTTCCCCTAACTATTTTGCTTTCATTACACGATAAAGAGCGTCCGTTTACCAGAAAAATGATACATATTTTCGACGAAAGCGAACGACAGCGAATAAAAGGCTATAACTTCCATTTACGAGTATTTATAAACGGTAGAACTTTTGCGAATGAAATATTCCCTCGTCAGACGAATCTTTTCCCTTTCGTTGCTACAAACAACGACTGAACCAAAATATTAAGATGTTTTTCCTTTCTGGAAAACTAATTTTATTACTATTCGTTAAACGATGTTTTATTTTGCGCTCGTCAAAGGGACACGTGTATTCGTGAACTCAATTCGGGCCGTGTGATCTCGTTGAATGAATTTCCGAGAATTTTCTCGCTTCCGAGGGTAGTTTAACTAAAAATTCCTGCCGGATGTTAACGGTACGCGCGTAACAGGCCACGCAATTAAAAAGCGGATATGTACGTTAGAGTAATTAATTGGTTCGACGATAAGAAAACCTTTTCGCCACGAAGTTTGCCCGCAGTCTGTAATTACAAGCATGAAATTGAGTAACGATAAAGATATTCTTGCGAGGTTCAAACAAGGGGAGAACGAGACGATAGGAATGTTCCTCGAAGTTCTATTAAAATAGGAGAAAAGTTCTCACGGGGGAAAATCAACGACTAACAAGACGGCGAAGGCAGGTTTCAAATTTTCGTTGGTTCTTGCGAAACGCCACTCGAGGGTACAAGTTCTAATCGGAAGGCTGGAGGAAGGGTCTATCTTGTCGGATAAATTGCGTTAGTCGTAGCTCGGTGTGACGTCCGCAGGTTATTTCCTTTTATTGGGTTCGTCGGACGAAAGTTACTGGCTCTTCTTTGTCTCGGAAAAGTCCACTCCTTCGTTTCGTTACCGGTTCACCGATAATTGTACCCCAGTTCGTACCTTGTAACATTTAGTTCAACGTACGTTATCGTTTATCATCGTCAGTAAGAATAATTCTGTTTTATTTTTGCCTAGTAGATGGCCGAAGCTAACGAGAATTGTTTCTGCTAACGAGCAGTAACAAAATATCGGAGCTTCCAGGCATTTCTCGTAATCTGTGTAGGCAGCAGTTCACCGCATTGCGATGTATTTTATATCTCCGATAATCGAGGATAAGTCAAACTTTCGTTACGCTCATTTTTAACGTGAAACTTTCCAGTATTGAATCGTTTAGAATAAAAGAGACTTTATGCGAGAAGTTTGGGCAAACATTTTCTTTCGTTCCGTAATATCTATAATGCCTCGATTAAAGAGACTCTTTTTTAATTTTGTAAGTAAATGCGGAAGGCTGAAAATCAGAGTGCTGTGAATCAGACCATTGTAATTTTTGATAAAACAGCGTTCCGCCTCTATCATTGTAAAAAATTCGTTATATTTTTATGTATTGTATTGTGTTACGTATTATATTGCGGAATTAGAGCTACGATGCTTCAGAGAGTCAGAGTACACGGCTAAACCTAAATTCTCAACATCTTGCCTTACTGCATGATAATCTTCAGCCCTCCATATATTTAAAGACCGGTTAAAGGAAACACGAGAAGTTGACCTAGAGAAATTGCATGTATCTTGAAACGCGGCAGATTTAGATTTACGCGTCTTAATTAATAGTTCGTTATAACATGTTATGTTTGTTAATGTCGCCATTTCAAGTTTCACGACACCGCGTAATCTTATACGTCTTGTCGCGTACGTTTCCGCCTGCGTTTAATATCAGGTTGTCCGAGAAGTGTCTTTCCTTTACGGACACGTCTTTTACAACGATGCGTCTTTATACAAATATGAAACCTGATCTGTCGAACGTTGTGATCTTCATTTTGATAAAACAAAATGGATCATACGTAATTCGATAAAATAATGTAAAACAGAAAATGTGCATCTATTATCATCTTATGAAACGAAAGAAACTTTTCGGACGACCTAATACATTATCAGATTTGTCTGTCGTTCTACGCGGTAAGACGTTCGTTAACACTTTACCGACCGCTAACGATTCAACGGCATACGCACGTCCGACCGGTATCTCAGTCACAGATTCTCCCTGGCTCCGGCTCTGTTTCGGCTTAGACTCTTCAATACCATTCTTTACGTTCATCGCGAACGGTAAGTTTTTCGAATCGATATAAAACTGTGGGAGCTTACAAAGCAACGCAACTGACGCAACTGAGCAAGGTACCTTGGTACTAAATGGCAAATTACTGCTCAAATAATGAGAAAGATTGTCGGCAACAAAAAGCCGATTAATAGGCTATCGGTCGGTAAAGTGTTAAGATACCGTTCAGTCTACGATCTAGCCATCTAGCAATCGGTGAATGATATTCTTAACCGAAGGGTAGTTAGTTGCTCGATAGAACAGTCGGTGAAATAGAATTTCTAAATGGTTTTGAAAGTCAGCCGATCGAAAATTTTCTTTCGGGTTCGTCAACCAACGTGGAGGGTCGTAAAGTCAATTGGGTAGAAAATCAATTGACAAAGATTGGCGAATATGACGATGGTTGGTCCGTAGTCGTGTAGGTAATGTAATTTATTCGATTTCCAGAGAATCGATTTCTTCTTGAACGCCATATTTACAACGGTCTGTGACGTTGTTTTATCTGATCGTTGGGTTTCCCGACCGTCTCACACGATTAATCGTCCAGTGACGTACACGCTGGATTATCACGTTGATCGATCGCCTCCACCGGCCACCGATTAGAACTGTCATCGTTGGTAACGACGGATTTTCATCGTCGCGAAGGGAATAAAAAGGGAGTAGCAAGCGAAAGGCTTTCGGGTCACGTATTGATAGATCGTTGCGTAATATCTTATGAATACCTTTTAAAGCGGATTCCATAGAGCAAGGAAACTTCACGAAGACGCGATAGTTTCCCTCCCGCGAATAATAAAAAGATTAGCCGAGAGAAGCCGCGTGGAATAATCATGTTAAATAGGTCGATCGATTGGAATGTTGCGGTAACGCCGGTAACCTTTCGATTTATCGTTGTAAAACTCGTGCGAAACCCTTGGAAAAATATGAAAAAGGCGGAAGCCTTATTCATCTTTGTTGTTTCTCGTTGTCACAGTCCGAAGAAAACGGATACAGAGAGGGAAAACTTTTATACTTAACGCGGTTCACAAACTCTGGCAATCTCCTCTATACGTTTACGCAATCGTGTTCTCAGGTTGAGGGAAACTTCGATAGAAACATTGCCACCAACTATGTCGTACTCCTTCGTTAATAGAAAATGTTTGTTAACACACTTTGGCAAGTGTAAACGAGCGTCATATCGCTTTGTCAATCGGCTACATTGTTAAATATAATCTAAGACATCGATCGTTTTTGTTATTTAAATAAACGATTGTTCAAGCATATTCGTCCAGCTACACTGCCAACAAGAAGTTCT